TTGGCTCTATCTCTCTGTATGTGTCTTTGTTGAATAATACGACCGCGCCTATCAGCTGACCAATGAAAATTTGGTCGGTCTCAGTGCACCTGTAAACGGTGCATCTTGTGTGGGTGGGTGTGCATGTCCCTATTGGATTTGCATCGACCGTGCTACTCGGCTTACCAATGAAATCATGTTAGGTTTATAGTTATAGTTATAGTATAACGAATTGAAAGGACACGAACGTGCTTTCTAGTGAAAGGGTTGCAACGATCGTTGTTGTTGTTGTTGTTGTTGTTGTTGTTGTTGGCATTTGTGCCGGTGTCCCCAAATCTCGTGTGCTTTCGTGCGTCGTTCCTAATGTGCCGTAGTTTGCTCGAAATCAGCCTTCCCCCTAACTTGGCTTCGCATAGAATTTGACGTCCACCTGGAGTGTTCGCTCAGTCTTGTCTCTCTCTCTGTCGTCGTTGTTGTTGGGCTGCATGTAACGGCGTTGGTCCTTGGTGACGTCGCCCCCAGATCTCCGAGGCCTGCTTCAAGGGGAAGCGCACGTCCAAGCAGTGCCGCGCCCGTTTCATGAACCACCTTGACCCCGGCCTCCGGCACTTCCCCTGGACCTTCGCGGAAAACGCCGCTCTCAAGGTAGTCTTGGCTTCGTTGCTGCTGTTTCTGCTGTTTCTGGTGCTGCTGCTGCTGTTGTTGTCGTTGTTGTCGTTGTTGTCGAAATTGCGAGGGAGAGGACTTAGCGATTCACCTCGTTTGGCGCGAGGTCTCCCAAAGCGTCCCAGTCGATCATGTTTTTTGGGGTGAGACGATTCTCCTCTGCAAGTCCTGCTGCTGTTAGCCTTCTCTGTTGACTCTCATTCCTTTGATTGGGGTACAACTGTAGTACACCCCCCTCCCGGAAGTTTGCGGTGGATCTGCGATTCGCGCTTTCGTTGACTTCAGTTGTGCGCCCTCCGTTCCTCCTTTCTTACAATTGTGCCCGTGCGTTGATGCAGAAAGCGGCAAACGCTTACAACGGACGGCAGATCAAGTGGGCCAGCATCGTCAAGGATGTGCCGGAGCTAATTGGTGAGGGGCAGCGACTCGCTCTTCGTTGATTGTTGGCGCTGTAGGTGATGCTGTTGTGGCTGTCGTCTTCACGCCGGCTGTCCTGATCTTGACGCCTGTCTCCCGGGTGCAAGACACTAAATGGTTATTTTGCCGTTAGTTCAAGGCCCGTCATGGGATTGCTGCTGCTGCTGCTCCTGCTGCTGTTTTTCTGTTTTATCTTTCATTCTTTCCGCGTCAATTTAAGTATCATTTCGCGGCGTATTTCTGTTTTCATTTGTCGCCTCGCATGTGCGGAATTTTGATGCGTTTTTATGCCCGGCCACATCCTACCTTTTTTTTTTTTTAAACCTGTCGCCGGCGCACGAATTTTCTGCATGTTTTCTTTGTTATTTTCCAGCTCTCAATAAGTTCGAGGCAAACCCGCAGGGGGGTTGCGGTACGCGACCGTTCCTTAGCACGTCTGTAGTCTGCCGTACCAACGGATGCTTCCAAGGCCCTCAGCATGGTCAAACCAACCAACCCCGAAATAATCTTGCGCAGCTTGTTGGTAGTGGTGGTTGGGAATCTTGCTGTACATGCGTGCCGCGTGTTGGGCGCAGGTTGATGTGCGACATGCTCGTTTTCGTCGAGCTGATCTGCATTACATGCGTTGTCTCCCGTTGCCCCCCCCCCTGGCTGTCCTGCTTATTTTATGCGCGCACACACCGCCGCCGCCGCCGCCTGCAGGCCGCAGCCCAGACGCGGCCAGAAATCAACACAAGATGATGGGGCGGCCCCGCGCGGTGTTCAAGTCGTTCACGCGTGCGGTGAGGCCGACAAAGCGAGCGCAACTTCTGCCGTCAAGCGTTGTGTAGGAGAGGAGAGTCAGAAGGTTACGAGGCTTCCCTGTAGCTGAACCACCGAGAAGACCGGTGCTCCAAGCGTTTTTTAGACATGCCGATGATGAAATATGACCCTATGGCAAGTCTCGACACGGAGCCCCCTCTACCCCTCCCCAATCCACGTTGTGGCAGAAACAACCAACGCGGGTGCCGATCCGGCCGGCTCGACAGCAGCCTGTGGCCCCCGTGCGTATAGCGCCTTCCGTTGGTGCCGTTGGTGCGATGCACCCGACTGCGGCATTGTCGCCGCAGCAGCAGCAGCAGATCAACAGCTTGGGCGTGATGTTGATGCAGCAGCAGCAGCAGCAGCAGCAGCAGCCGCAACTGAGTCAGCAACAGCAGCAGCCGCCGCAGCAGCAGCAGCAGCAGCAACAGCAGCAGCAGCAGCAGCAGCAGCAGCAGGGGGGGGGGGCGGCGGCAGATGGCGACTCGCCTTCTCGGTCGTCTTCTCCGATTGTGGTGCAGCAGGAGCAGCAGCAGGCCCCGCTTCTCCCGGCAACCTCTTCTTCTGCCAATGCCTCCTCCTCCGCCGCCGCCGCCGCCGCCGCCGCCGCCGCCGCCGCCTCCGCCGCCGCCTCCACCGCTGCGGCTGCCTCTGCCGCTGCGGAGGCCTCTCTGCAGAGGCAGCTTGAGGTAAGCCAGGCCAGAACCACACCGCAGTCGGCAGTTCACGAGCCACTTGCTTCGTTGCACGTGTTATTTGTTGTTGTTGTTGTTGTTCGTAAGGTATTTGCATGAACACACACCCGTGCTCCATATCCACATCAGCATTCGTGATGGCCGAGCTAGATCATCGGCAGATGGTCCAGATGCTCCACTCACGATAATCTGTGTGACCCCAGCCCGAATACTGTCGGCGTGTGATAGACGCAACAGCGTAGAGTTTCGGTGGCGGTCTTTGTCGCTTTGTTTGTCGGCAGGCCCGAGAGAAAAGTAGAGGCATCAAGTGCGAGCCCTAAACCACATCATACGTGAAGCGATGTGCTACACGTCTGGCAAGGATTTCCAGGGTAGTATGCATAGCGTGGCGTTGTCCGTGGTTAGTGGAGGGGCGCCGTGTCGAGCTACCTGCATAGGCATTATTGGTTGCTTCGAGGCGTTTTTGCGGCGGGGAGCGGGCACGGTGTTGTTTGCTAACTCGCCTTGTGTCCCCGCTCCGCTGCTGCTGCTGCTGCTGCTGCTGCTGCTGCTGCTGCTGCTGTTTTTGTTTTTGTGCCACACCGGTTCGTCTCTGCCGCCGCTAATCTGTTTGTTCGTTTGGTGCTTCGTTTCCCGGTCACCGCAGATGGCCTCTCCGACTATCTTGCCGTCTCCACCGGGACCTCCGGGGCCACCGCCGCCGCAGCCGCCACAGGCGCAGCCGCAGCCGTCACATGCG